TTATAGCTTTTACAAAATAAAATGAGATTAATAAGACTACTACATACCTAATAAGAAAACTGAAAATGCAATGATGAAAGGCTCGAAATCTTTCCCGGATCGATCAGCAATCCAATGGATGCCGATGGCAAGAAATCCAGCAAGAAGAGTTCCACAAATTCTGTTTATACTTTTAGATAATGTTGCACCTGCATGCACATAAACAAGTAAAAAATGGGTGTTTTTCGGCTTGTGACCTTCACTGAGGAGCTAATATTGCACTAATAGATCGTGTAAAAAAAAAAACAAATGGGAAAAATTGTTTGTAACTTACCAACAGTATTTTCAAAGACAACCACAACTGTCATAACTGCCCACATGGCATTTCCTCCCACACCTTCATATAGAGGTCTCATGTAGTAAAAGAGTGAGACAGCTGTGAGGGCCATCCCAACCTTGACGCCATGGATCACTTTTATGGGCTCATTGTGCCCCAAGTCCCAAGCTTTCTTCAGAAAGTCACATACTTTCATAACCAACCCTACAACCAGGCCCTTTAAGGCAAGCCAGGCTATGTCGGGGCACCCTCGTGCCTCGGTGGGAGCCAAACTTTCAGATGACCCGTCGGCCATTTTTATCCTCCACTCTATTGCGCCGGTTGCTTCCTTCTCCTGAGCCATTTTTAAAAAAACGAAAATGGCGAAGAAAATAGAGAATCAGACGAGAAGAACTATACAACAGGTGGTCCTCAGGGTCATGTAGAGGAAAGGATTGTTGGTGAGGAAGGCTGACGGACTATTGAAGTATATATAAGGGAATTTGGTTTCTCAGAGTGGTGAAATAAACAAATGAGCTTGCAAGTAATGATGTAAAGAATAAACAAAAATTTCCAATAGCATGGCAATGTCAGCAGCTAAAGGCCAATGCACTTCTTGTTTTTTGTATGTTGGGTAGGTCAGGTTGGGACTCAAGGACACATATGTTGAACTTTCATTAACTTCATTCTCTGTTCATTCAAAATAGGTAAAAACTCATTTCAAGCTTCCGTCCGACTATGGAACGAACGTTCGGTTAATGTGCCGGCATCCTCATAATTAACAAAATATATTATTAATTATGTTATCATACATTTTCGACTATATCTATACAATGACAACTAAGCATACGTCGTGCATTTAGAGAAGTTATGTTTCACGCTTATAGGTTATAATCCCGTTGTTTCTTACACCTGTATCAATTGGTCATTTTCACTTCAAACATCACCAACAGGACAGTGTTCAATCCTGGAATGCAACGTTTTTTATAATGCAATTTATGTATGTGTTACTTGTACTGCATAAACTCTACAACTGTGATATGGGATATTTGCTAACTGGAAATTTACCGAACGTAATTAGATAACCAATTTGATTTAGTAATCAAACAGCATTCAGATGGTTTATTTTTATTTTTTAAGAAAACCTCGGCGGTGCGAGGTGCATATAGATGATTCTACTGAATATCTAATTTGTTGAAACACGTGTGGTTCTTCATTTGAAGGAAATTCTACAAATACGATGGTAATTAAACCTTCCAATTTTTCCTTAATGCCAGAGAGAGAGAGAGTGTGTCATTGACTTAAAACCAAACCTTGATGATCTTGGTGACATATTTGTGTCCTAAAATTCACTAAAAGTGATAACATCAGCGCACTATCAAGCGATCAAATCAATATCTAATATTATGCCACAGATAAGATAATTAGGAACTAGCACTCAACACATACTTATGATATTATGATATCATGGCATCATGGAAGAACTATTTCAACAATCTTGCACTCTCTCTCTCTCTCTCTCTCTCTCTCTCGCTCCATTCCTGTAGTCCTATGGTACGGATCTTGAGTGGTGTAGTTTCTTTCCCGAAAACACCCGGCGTAGGTAAGCTTAACAAGTTTTTCTTTCTTACAAATAAATCATAGTCAAACTACAAGTTATTTGTAATATGTTTCAGCTTGTGATTCGCAACTTAAAAAATAACTCATTAACGGTAAGGAACCATGTTTCTTTCCCTCTTCTGTAGCAGTAAAGAAAATTTGTTTTAAGTCCTTTAGAGGGAAAAAAACAATAGAGTCTTAGCCCTTGTCTCTTTCCCCTCCCACCATAACCCAACCCCCAATCCCCTCACTACCCCCACCCACCACCCCCCCCCCCCCCCTCCCCTTTTTTAAGACCAAACCTCAGTTGCTGAAACTACTCCAGTTGTTTCACATAGAGAGGACAAAACTTGAATTCCATTCAATTATAGTGGAGAGTCCAATATGGTACTAGAAATGTTAATCTATGATTTTGATTGATTAGAAATTGAAGGTAAAATTCGGTCATGACTGTGACCAAGTAAAGTTGCGGGGGCATTAGATTTTTGGAGAGGATTTAAAACTTGGGGGCTGCATGAATTTGATTGTTTGTTGCTGATTTCACTTGAATGGAAAGAGCACTTATCTCATCCCTTAGTTCTTTCCACAGCTGTGTGCGCTGATTTGAGAGGCCAATTCAACTATCAAAAAGCATATCTACATAATTTTGTTCCCGCAATTTTCAGATTGATTATCGTGTAATTTAATATGATTACGTGCATTAATTAGCACTATACTTTACCGAAATATGATGTAGACATGTCAAATAAATAAAAATAAAAATCTCAAAGTTCGGTTCCTTTTTGCTTATATTTTATGTGGTAATAATTCTAGTAATCAAAACATGGTATATAGAACATAGAACTCAAAACTAATTAGTAATAGATGGAGACGTATACAAGCGAAAACGTTATACATATTGCTACTTGGTCACACTCATGATATATAACGTCTTCGTAGATGGATCACGCATTCCAAAATAGTTATACATATTGCCCGGTATACACATATTGCCCGGTATACAAACGAAGACCTTGCATGTGACCAAGTTGTGGTGGATATCACAAAGAGGGAGACGTATACAAACGAAGACGTTATACTTATTCAACGTGAGATATGTTAGAGAATAAATTACACATTGATGAGAGCAGGATCTTGCATGTACTTATATGGAGTTGGGCTACTCCTTATATTGCCAATTGGTTTTATGGTTGATCCTCAACTTTCTTTAGGGTATTAGAGCATGTTGTCTCATGTGTGAAGCTCAACCGTTACACGTGCTCCACGTCACCTGAGTTGTCCACACGTTAGGTTTGAAAATTCGTCACACGTGAGGAGATGTGTTGAGAGTGAATCACACATTGATGAGAGGAGGACCTTGCATGTGCTTATAATTAGTTGGGCTACTCCTCATATTACCAATTAGTTTTATGTTACATCCTAATGTCAACAACAATCATCCTTTTTTCTAATGTTTTATATAGGAACTTGTTATAGTTAGGAATTCAAAACAATTATTTTATACCATTTGTTCCCTTCAATTTTCATAGTGTATGATAACTATTTTGGAATGAAATAATAGCTCCCTCTATATATGGCATATATGCTGCGCAACATATGAAGATCCTTGGTGCCTTGAGAGGGAAGAAACAAGAACCAGTAACTGTCAAAAACTTTGTTGATTAGATTTAACTGTCAAACTACATGCCTGGTAAGAAGGGTTCTTTTGCTTTCCATGAAGACAACATAGAGGGTAATGAAGGACTAGGTGAGTAAAATTACACACTAGGGTCGGGTCATCAGACAACCACAACTGCTGGAATGTGGTACTTCATGGAATCATTTATATGCTCCTAGTTCTTAGTTGTAGTGTTCCATTAATTTCTTGTAGTGATTGCATTGAGTTGATGAATCTTTTCCATTCCTAATTAAGCAAACATTTGGAAGAATGTGAGAACAAAGTTAGTTACACATCAGTGAGAGACCAAACTTGTAAGGGCTTATAAGGAGTTGGGCTACGCCCCCTCATGTGTGATGAATTTTCAAGCCTAACACATGAACAACACAACTGGACGACGTCAAGCACATGTGTCCGGCCATTGCCTGTTGAGCTTTACGTACAGGACAACTTGCTCTAATACCATGAAGAAATTAAGGTTCCACCCTAAAACCAATTGGCAATATGATGAGTAACCCAATTACTTATAAGGTCAATTCTTTCTTCAATGTGGAATTCATACTCTCAACAACATGGACTTCCATGAAAATGACCTGACAATTATGCAGGGTTTTTCCTTGCGGTATTTTTCTCTTCCAACTTTATTTGATTTATCAGCTTTCCTACGATGTACTCATGTACGATACCATGATGTGCCAATAGTTACTAGATAACATTATTCTAGAACGACGATTCGTTGCTAGAACCGACGTAAATCTTGCCTAACTTCAACTGTATCAGACGGAAGTACCTAATTCCACATATTTTAGCCTCGCAAAATTTAATGCATGATGATCGATGATCACTATAGTGTATAGTGTGTGTATATATTAGGTTTTCTTTCAGATATAGATTCTGTATTTGTCTTGATATTACTAAATTTTAATGTGAGGGTATGCCTTCTTGCTATATATAACCTATGTAATACTGTCAGACTATAAATTGTAATATTTTAGATAAATCGAGATTAACATGATGCAACTGCTTGACAAGAGAAAATTTTTCTTTAGTATGCATCACATATAACGATTTTAAAGATTGTCATGTAATTTTGCTGTCGCTGTAGAAAGAAAACTCTCTTGAATTTCGTTCCCTTTTGCAGAAGTGTCTGATTCAAGTTTTCCATTTTTCTTTTGAACTTTTCTTTCTAGCTAGTTTAGTTATGCGGTTTGCTTTCTGTATGAGTTTGTAGATGCTTATGTTTTCCTGTGGTGTTGTGTCCGTTATCTCGCGGTCCATTATTCTCTCTGTCGTGTATATATGTTATAGTTTTATTTCCTCCATTTGACAGACCGACCAGAAACAAAAAGTCAAGATGGCGATATCTCACACTAACCATGCACTATGAAAGAAGTTAATTGAAACATGTGGCGTCATGTTGTTCGTCAGGGGGAGAGAGAGAGAGAGAGAGAAGACAACATTCCATGACTACAATACCAAATATTAAGCCACAACAGAGGCCAAAAACAAATCAGTGGTTAGCCTATTACTAACTGGTTTAAATTCTCAGCAGGTTGAAGATATAAACTTGTAAAAAAAATCCCACATATAAAGAGGGTTAACTTCACTTTCACCATGCCTTGCACACCCTTATCTTATTGGGAACTAAGTAAAGCAGTAAAAAGAGCAAACCTGCAATTTTTGCAGGAACATTCCTAGTCTCTACTAACAATATGCACACATCACAGACTTCCGAGGCTCAATCACCAATCTCATTTTCTCTCATTGTTTGTGGTTTCCTCCGTTGCCGGAAACACCTACCACATCAGGTCCTCACAGGGCAATGCTTAAGGTATATCTGACCCTCACAGGTCAGGGTAGTCAGTAAGCTAAACATCTCAAATCAAGCTGACCGGAGGCGGCAAGATTTGTTGCTGACAACTATCCAATATAGGAGGAACCCCACCATCTACTACATTACTTAGCCGATTAGTTGGATCAACCACACCCGTAGTTGTTTGTTGTAGAAACCGGACAAGGGACCAGAATACATCTAGCCTTGTTACATGCCTAGTTGCCTGTTACAAAAATTTCGGATTAAGATATTCAGAAAAAAAGTAAAATAACGAATGTCCCTACGACTTTTCATTTTTCTTATGGGAGAAATTATCTAAGATCCTTAATGTAAATATTTCAATTTAGGTTTTACCTCAACGATAAACCTTGCCCATATCTTATCTTCCCGGCTTTCCATAACCCCCTTCAAGATATTTAACCCAAAGCCGCGGATTATGTCTGCTATCTCAAGAAAGAAACCTTGTTCCTCACAAAGCATCTGCAACAGAAGTAGATATTGAAGTCAGGAGGGTTCACATAATTAAGGTTGACATAAGAATTGGAGGGAACTCTTTCATTTTTTGTATGCCTTTTGCTTACCTCGATAAGCATTTGGCCCGGCTGATCAAGGTCCTCGACTACTATAGGGCAAACCACAGTTTGACCCTCAACTGCTAATGCCCGTGTATTACCACCACATTTGGTGCTGTTGTCTTTTAGAACCACTCCATTCTCCTTGCCAATTAGCTGTAAATCCATGCAAAATATTGTCACATTAGTTCATAAAATATAACACATTTTGGGCTTGTCTTGCATACATATAACAGAAATAACCAAACCAACTGACCTTTGGCTCATGAGTCTGTTTAAGCTTATCTGCATATTTCGTCACGCTTTGCAAGAAGACCATGTATTTGATTGTCCGGTCCAACAAAGAATCGATGCTACACTGTTTCATCAAGAAAATATATGAACGTCAAAAACCTTATTAGAAACACAATGTCTAATCTGCAATCTCATTATTGTCTACCGTAAGTGAAAGCAAAAACAAAAATGCGTACCTTGCCACCAGTAGGGATGATCCCCTTCAACTCTTTGATACGGTCTTGAATCTGCTGGCGATCTTTAGGTCTAGGTCGAGTACTCTCCCCTGGCCTTGCCCTTTTCTTGGTGTTCTTTGTGTGTACCTCAGCTTTCTGCTGTTTATCTTGAACCGCACTTCTAGCGCTGACGCTATAGCTGTCATCAATCCATAAGCCTACCTGTGATTTTGGGAAAAAGTCTTTCTTTGGACCAAGACTGTTTGCCCTGTCCAGGTTATAGAAAGATTTCGCTGAATATGTACTCATATCCAAGCCTGCAAGCCTTGGCGGTTGAACCTGATTGCTATTCACAGATAAACATTCTGATTTCCTTTTTCTAGTGGTGGATGACTGGTCCTCTAGATTGCATTTTACGGAGCTGGAAGTAGTAGTTTTACCATTTAAAAGCTCTTCAAGTCCTAATTCTGAGAACAACCCCTTCCGAGGACCAGGCATGGAACCGGTTATTTCTGACTCTGAGAAGCATTTTGTCAAAGCAGTACCAGTGGCCAAGTAGCCACCACTGGTTGCTGGCATTATAGTATCTTCCCAACACTTCCCGACTTGACCACATGCAAAATCCGGTCCCAAACCATCAACACTCTGAATGATCACAGATTTATCGTGTCCATCGGCGCTAAATGGATTTGTAACCGAACTTTGAATAGAGTTAGCTGGAGTTTGAATTGGAACATGAATAAAGTTATCACCTTTAACCAGACTAGACGACACTGAAGTACTTTCTATTACTTGTGAGAAGTCATTGTTCAGTGTGGTTGTCATTGCATTGAAGTTCTGTTCCGGTGACGCAGCAAACCACTGGGAAAGATCATCCAACTGGTACAATCTAGAGAGATCTATACTTAAATCAGCTGGATTACACTCCAGCGGGAATCCATGCAGAGATTGCTGGTTATCCATCTGATATCCACAGCTTCCTTGAATAGGTTTCTCAAAGTCAGCTAATGAAGTGAATGCCGAGTCCACCTGAATATTCCTCACTGTATCTCTGCAAGACTCGAATGAATCATGAAGAATAATTTCCGATGCCAACAGTGGTTCAAATGAAGTCAAAAGTGAAGATTCGGCACTCCACGTACTAAACCAGGGGGTTTTATCAGCTGAGCCAATATCATCAGATGATGTAGACTGAAAACCCACTGCAGAAATAATATTTCCTCGGTAGTTCGTCACATTTGTCACCCGGAGTCAAGTTAACATCTCCATTGTAGGAATTCCCAGATGAAATCAATGAAGCAAACAACTCATTTAGATCACTAGTTTCATTGTTCATGGATGAAGGTGCATTTTCCAAAGGAATAAGCCCATCAAGATTTTCCATCTCCCGAAACAACCTTTTTGTTTCATCCAAAACTTCCACCCTCTCCATAATCTGCAAAAAAAAATAGCAGTATAGTAAAAAAAAAAAAAAAAGAAAGTACTCAACCATTCCATACTATATGATCAACAAACCAAGTGAACTAGATTTTGGAGAACATGATCTCATATGAACATAAGAATGTGGAAATCCAGTTTGGTGCTTTTAATTACCTTTTCGGTGGATCCTAACTGAATTACTCCTCGTGGTTCAACGGAGATTATTGCAATTGTCTGCAAGTAAATTTCAGGGTCAATAAATATGACTATGGATGGATAAAGAAAAGTTTACAACAAATATAGCTACAAATGGCTGTGAAAAGAAAAGAGTTCATCAGATATATCATACATTCAACTACTCTCACTTCATTTCACGAAAGCATAAAGGATCGAACGGAAATAATCATACCTTTATACCAGAAGAAAATTGGCAACTGAACTCAGAATAATCCTGCAAATGGCAGAAAAGTTCAACTTAAGCAAAAACGAGCAACTCCGATTTCTCAGAATTTTGAACTTAATTTGAGCAATTCAACAAGAACTTGGATGGCCTACCAACCTGAAACATATCTTGATTTTCAAGAGAACTGCATGGATTCCATCCTCCACCGTGAGCATCTGAATGCATCCATCGATGCTTTCCGGTGAAAGCGGTTTGCCCAATAATACTATTTCAAACAACAAAACAACAAGATCAGCCATTTTTTAAGTAACTTTGTAATGCTTGTCTGAAACAACAAAAGTAATTTTGCAGGGATGTTTTGTAATCAAGGTTTATGGATTTTCGGATTCGAATTCGGAAAATGAGTAAACTGAAACGGAGTAAGTATTGGGCGCACCCTTCTCCAAGTACATGGACCTGTGGAAGCATATTTTCAATCACTGCTCCCACATGATCTTCATAGTAGGCATCTCCCATTGTCAACAACCTAAAGCATTACAAACCCAGAATTAATGTCAGATTTGAAACCAATAAAAAATTAATTATAATCCCAAATAATAAATGTGAACTTCAATACAAGCTTTGATCTCACAAAGGAAAGTGCAAAATTTCCAGCATGCAGAAAATAGATAACCAATATTTGAAAGGAGAATACCAATAACTAGTGCCTGCAATTAATGGCAACATAAAAAGCATTCTTTTGAACCATTTCAATCTATATGTAAAAACTAAGTCCAATCAGACTGAAAGATTGGATTTTTATAACCCCACATAAAAATATATATGTTAAAAGAGGACTTGTACCCAGTATTCCCACAAGAAGAAATGCATCTTGGGACAAAAACAAAATAGATTGTTAAGTTGGAAAAACCAAATGATAAAAAAAAAAAAAAAAAAATATCAGGAACCAAAAGAAACAAACAAAAACAGCATGAATATACAAATGGAAGTATTTTATTTTCTTCCCCAAAAGGAAAAAAAAGGAGACAGAAACAATGGGAACTTACATGGAATTTCTGTGATCAAATCGCCAGAAAACCCCATAAGACCACCCACTGCTAACACACAGACTCCTCAGCCTCTCTCTTACCACTGAACTTTCACCCATTTGGGCCATTTCACTATCCAAATCAAACCAACCTCAAAAATCCCAAATCCTCAAAACAAAAAGTCCATGTCCGAGTCAACCAGGGCAGCTCAACTCGGTCACTCAGTCACTCAGTCACTCAAGAACCCGACAACCCTGAAACCCAACTACTTTTTGCTGTAATTTTTGTTGCTTCTTGAACAAATTAATGAAGCAAAAAAACCAAAGCTTGTTGCTTTCTGGTGGTTGCTGCGAGGAAACAAGCTTAAAGTTGCACAACAAAGAGTGTTTGTATTGTGTTGCCTGAAATTTTTAGAAGGTGAAAGTAGTCGGTTTTAGAGAGTGAAGAGTTCAAGATTGAAAGGAAAGGTTTTATATTTATATATAAGAAGAGAAGGTGCCGGTTAAGGTTTGCTTTGCTTTTGTCTCTCCTTTTTCTTTCTCTCTCAAGTCTCTAAAAATGTTTTGAGTAAATTACACTTTCATATCTCAGGTTTGAGATTTATTTTAATTCCTTATAACATCTTTAAAACATTTCACTTTCATACTTTAAGTATTATTTTATTTCAAAATAATACATCCGTTATATTTTTCATCCATTGATCCGTTAAATGCTGACATGGCTGCCACATATATGCCACGTGGCTATCAAATGTCTACCACGTGACAAATAAAATAATTTTTTTTTAAAACCCTGAATTTTCTCAAAAAAAAAAAAAAAAAAAATTTAAACCCACATCTGCAAGAAGAAGAAGAGGGAGGAAGAAAGAAAAAGAAAACAAAATTGTCCCTCCCGCTCCCCCTCCCCCTTCCCTGCGACCCACATATGAAGAGGGGGAAGAAAGAAAAAATAAATAAAAAGTGTCCCTCCCCCCTCCCCAGCGACCCACATATGCAGGAGGAAGAAGAAGAAGAAGAAGAAGCCACATATGAAGAGGGAGGAAGAAAGAAAAAATGAAGAAGAAGAAGAAGCCACATATGAAGAGGGAGGAAGAAAGAAAAAGAAAAAAAAAAAACAAATTGTCCCTCCCCCCTCCCCCTCCCCAGCGACCCACATATGCAGGAGGAAGAAGAAGAGGGAGGAGAAAGAAAAAGAAAAAAAAAAACAAAGTCCCTCCCCCCCCCCCCCCCCACCAGCGACCCACATAAGCAGAGGAAGAAAGAAGAGGGAGGAAGAAAAAAAAGAAAACAAAAAACAAATTGTCCCTCCCCCCTCCCCTCCCCAGCGACCCACATATGCAAGAAAGAGAGGGAGGAAGAAAGAAAAAAAAAAAAAATTGTCCCCCCCCAGCGAGAAGAAAGAAACCCATAACCCCCCCCCCCCCCACCCCCCACCCCCGCGATCCTTCCCCCCGTCCCCGCCCCTACCCCGACCCAGCTCCTTCCTCCCTGTTCTCTTCTTCTTCTTCTGCTGATGTAGGTTTCAATTTTTTTTTTTATTTTGAAAAAATTCAGGTTTTTAAAAAAATATATAAATTATTTTATTTACCACGTGGCAGACATTTGGCAACCACGTAGCATATATGTGGCAGCCACGTCAAGATTTAACGGATCAATGGATGAAAAATGTAACAGAGGTATTATTTTGAAATAAAATAGTACTTAAGGTATGAAAGTGAAATGTTTTAAAGATGTTGTAAGGAATTGAAATAGATTCCAAATCTGAGGTATGAAAGTGTAATTTATTGTCCTTTATGGGTTCAACTTCAATGTCTGGTCTCTTGTTTTCGACTATCGGATTAAATAAATTGAACAAAATTAATGAATAAAAATTAATAAGGATGTGCGAAAGATAAAAATTCCGGGCTCAACTCCACCGTAGCACGATATTGTCCGCTTTGGGTCCCTACCACACCCTCACAGTTTTGTTTATGGGAACTCATACGACAACTTCCCAGTAGATCACCCATCATGGGATTGCTACCAAATGGCCTCGTGCTAGGTAGAGATGGGAATATACATATAAAGCTTACATAATTCACTCTCTTGGGTGATGTGGGATGTTACAATCCATCCCCCTTAGGAATCCATCCCCCTTAGGGGCCTGACATTCTCGTCGGCACACTTTCGAGCAAGGATTGACTCTGATACCAAATTGTCACATCCCGGCACGGGCTCTTACCACATCCCGGGCTTGACTTCACCATAACAATATATATTATCCGCTTTGGGCCCCTACCACACCCTCACGATTTTGTTTTTGGAAACTCATACGAGAATTTCTTAGTGTGTCATCCATCATTGGATTGCTCTCACGTGAACTCGCTTAACTTCGGAGTTCCGATGAACTCCAAAGCCAGTGAGTTCCCAAATAGCCTCGTGCTAGGTAGAGATGAGAATATACATATAAGGCTTACAAGATCCATTCCCTAAGCGATGTGAAATGTTACATATATTGTTTTATTACTTTATGCAATGTTATGTCTGTAAATATTAAATTTAATTTGATATGAATGTAGAATGTAATATTTAATAAATCAATTCACGTGTTATGAAATAATTGAATTCATAAATTTTTAAAAAGTAATAACGACACAGTATTTTCTCCTCTATACTAATAAAATGAATATATCAAACGGCAACTACAAACAAAATTTAAAAAGAGTTCGTTCAGAAGGAAAATTGTGTGTGATAATCGATATTGATTTATGCAGCAGTGTGACGGTCATATAAAAAAATTTGATAGAAATAATGAAAATTAAAATGAAAAAGAAGACAAAATTAAAATATCAGATATAGTATTGCGAAGTTGAAGGGGAAATCTGGATCGTGGGTATTTAATTTTGCTGTGTTAATATCGTTGTCTTATTGGAGACTTGGATGTGCCGGTGATTGGTCCCCATCTGTACGCCCAGAACCTTTTCCGTTGATTTACCGCCTATAGCCGGTTGGTATGGTTGATTATCTCGGAAGTAACTTTCCAAATCCCAGGAGATATTGAAATTCCGTGAGATGGGAGAAAATGAAAGGGTAAATCTAAGCTTTATTGCATAGTTATTAGGAAATTTTTTGTTTTAATTTATAATTAACTCATGAAATATATCGTGTCTTTTTCTTTATTTGATAGGTGTTGAATGATAGAATGATAGAGAATATTATGGAATCCAGACTTTCTTTGTGAGAATTCTAAAGATTCGTGAATCGTATCCTATTTATCATACATCGTGAGGTCAAAAATCATTTTAATTTTTTTTATTTAAAATTGAACATAAAAAATTCATGATGAAATTGACCGCACGATATACGATGAACAAACTCGATTCACAAATTTCAAGGATCCTAGAAGATCCGGAGAGGATCCTGTAGGAATATTATGAACTTAATTGAGCAAATGAATAATTGTGTTGTTAAGGAACTTAATTTCTTATGCTTTTGTGAATGCTCTTGATTTGATTTGATTTTATAATTCATTTGCAATAACTTTACCAAAATCTATATGGCTAAAGATTACAAAGCTTATTGAACAAGAAAAACAAGAAACGCAATTCAAATGTACAAATTGAGAAAGGTGACGATGACCTAGAGCTATCGACCAAAGGTCGAATTTTCTCTAGTTGGAAATGAGGAGCCCTAGAGTTGGAAAGAAAGAGATGAAGAAGATAAAAGCCTAGAAATAGAGCAATTATACCCCAAAATAATTTTTGTATCCCTCCATATTTTGATGTGATTTATAGATTTAGTATATTTTTTTTTTGTCAAAACAATTAATATATTTAATATTTAGAGAAAAAAAAAACTCTTGTTGTTTTGTCTCTCTTTTTGTTTTAAGGGGAAAATTTAACATTATTCCTGAATTGCAAGTCATGTTTCAATTTGTCTTGTGAACTTTTAAACTGAAAGATTAGAGGAAAAAATGAAACGAAGTCTTATGTGCAGTTGAAGGCTTTAAAGGTATTTTTTTTTACTAGTTTTGTGTTTAATTTTTGACTCTGATAAATCACAAAATGGTGGTTAAGGGAGATTGAAATATTTCTCTGAGCATTCCTGACTCTCAAAAGAATGAATTGACGTAACCATAGCCGTTTAAATAAAAAAAAAAATAAAAATAAATAAAAAAGAGGCATGTTTAAGTTTTCTCCTTTTTACATGGAAAAAGAGAGAGTAGAAATCCACAACTACAAACCACCCACTATGAATTCTTAATTTTAATTTATGTTCCAAGAGAAAAAGAAAATTATCCATCCACAAAAAGGGAAACGAAAATGGAGATCGAAAATAACTCGCCAACAAGGTCAGCATCAAAAGCCACACAAGGTCATGAAAGCAAAAGTCCCTATCTTCCTTTTTTTTTTTTTTTTTTTTTTTTTGGACAAATGCAAACGTCCCTATCAATCTATGAACCCCACAAAGCAGCATACCCTACTAGTCTACTACTAACATTCCTGTGGCAATAATATTATACTGCAAATCTCGCTTCCCCACTATTACATCTATAAATATATGGGAAAATGATACTAGTCGGATTCCTTTTTTGGGAATTCGAGAGATTTTGTAATCGTGTTCGTTCATAATATATCGTGCCGGTTAGTTTTTATTAGATATTATTTATATTTAATTTAAAATTTAAATTTTAAATAATTTCTGACCATACGATGTATGATGAACAGACACAATTACAAGATCTTCTTGATCCCCAGGAAAAGGATCCGGCAAGGATCCTTATCCGTGGGCATCCTACCACATTTAAAATATAATAAAAATGGATTAAGATTATGGTATATAATGATATTTCTTATCAGTCATTATTTATAAATGAAAAGTTTTAAATTCGATTCATATGGATGACAAATACTTATAATATTTGTGTCGGGTTCACACATTGTGTGACCTATGAATCATCATACCTATACTATTTGTTTTAGTTGGATACATATAGTGTAACTAATTCATTGTGCAAATTAACTCAATCTTTTTCCTTTAAAGTAGAATATTGTTTTTTCAAATGAAGTAGAATAACATTGTATTTGAATAAAAAGAAGTACATTTAATAAATAAGGAAGGGAAAATCTACATGCTAGCTTGTGCCATCTAATAAGCAATAGATACGTGACAAGTTCTCTACACAATAATCTCATTAAAAGTGTCGTTCCAAGGAAATAGGTAAGCTAAGCATATAATATTGTATTTTATTATTATTATTTTTTCATTTATAACATCTCTTTTTATCTTTTAATTTTGTCATCTTCCATTACTCAGAATGTCTGACACCTAAAAAGATGTGGAGCCTGATTTGCCTATTCAGGCTATTGTAGGCAAAATTACCTACTTTTGGATGTCAAATTTTTTTTGCACCCAAAATGGGTATGACTCTCTATAACCTTAATTATTGACTGACATATGTTTATAAACTTAATTTTTTTTAATTTTGGTTTCATAAACTTAATATGTCAAACAATGATTGGGACCACACCATTTTGAATGCGGAAGATTTGATCTCCTTTTATAAGGTATGCAAAATTTGCAAACTAAATTGCTTAATACCACA